GAGAATGAGGCGAAGATAGGCGTGCGGTTTGGGGAGGTGAAGAGTTCCGGTTTGGAGCATGTGGAGCTGCCTTTGGAGCTGAGCAGCGGCAGCACAACCACAAGGCAATCCTCCCTTGTGAATGGGGGAGAGGAGGCCAATGATGCAGAGGAAGAAGAGGAGGAGGTGCAGCAAGTGAGCGAGCGTGCACCGTCACTCCCTTCCCGTACTACGAGTGCTCCACGGATTCGAGCCACACCGCAGCAACGCCAAGGCCTTCAAGTCCCTGCAGCTGAGGAGGAAGGAAGGGGGAAGAGGAGAGTTCAACCCCCTAATAGGCTGACCTATGATGCGCCGGGAAAGCAGGGCAAGACAGCCCTGGCCGGAGCGGCAATGATGGTCGGAGACGACGAGGAGAGTGACTGCGAGGAGTGTGCCTTCGCGTTCTTCTCTCCGGTGGAGATGCCGGGAGAACCAGCAACTCTCAAGGAGGCTTTGGAGAGTAGTGATGCTGAGGAGTGGAAGAAGGCCATGGAGAGTGAGCTGAAGAGCATCGAGGAGAATGACACGTTTGAATTGGTGGAGCTACCGGAGGGGCGTACGGCGATAACGTCCAAGTGGCTCTTCAAAATCAAGTCGGATGCCGACGGCAAGATCGAGCGCTACAAGTCTAGGCTTGTAGCCAAGGGGTACCAGCAGAAGGAGAAGGTGGACTTCAAGGAGCTGTTTGCCCCTGTGGTGAAGCCGACGACGCTGCGAACCCTATTCGCGGGAGCCGCCATCAAAGGATGGGTAGTAAAGCAAATGGACATCGTAACGGCATTCCTTAACGGCATCCTTGAGGAGGAGATTTTTATGGCGCAGCCAGAGGGGTTTGATGATGGTAGTGGCAGAGTGTGGAAGCTGAATAAGGCCCTCTATGGGCTGAAGCAGGCCCCTAGGCAATGGTACATGAAGCCGCGCGAAGTGTTGGAGGGGATCGGCTTCACTCCCTCAACGGCCGATCACTCCTTGTTCATGCTTGGCGAGGGGGAGCAGAGGAGTTTCATGGTGGTTTATGTGGATGACATCCTCATTTTCTCACCCTCTTCTGACCTTGTGAAGGAGGTGATGCTGAAGCTTCAAGACAAGTTCAAGTGCAAGGCCCTTGGTGACGTGAGCTTCTACCTTGGGCTCCACATCGAACGAGATGTGGAGAAGCGGTGCATGCGGGTGCATCAACGAAAGTACCTGGAGGCATTGGCTGCCAACTTTGGGCAGAGTGAAGGCCATGTGGCTACACCCTTTCCCTCTGGGTTCAAGTGTGTGAAGGGACCAGAGGAGGAGAGCGTTGGTGAAGAGGAGAGGCGCCGATTTCACTCGTTGGTGGGCAGCCTCATGTATGCGGCGGTAAACACCCGACCGGACGTCGCGTTTGCTACCGGGCAGCTGGCTAGGGTTGTGCAATGCCCTAATGAGGAGCAGGTAGCAGCTGGAATGAGGGTGGCCAAGTATCTTGGCCAAACACCGACCGTTGGGCTGCAATACTCGGCGGCGGCACAAAGGCGCCAAAAGGGCGCGGATGGTGTTGAACCCGGGCGTTTGTTCCTCACCGCCTACTCGGATGCTTCATATGCATCAGAACCAGAGGACATGACAAGTGTGGGAGGCTTCATATGCTGTGTTGGTGGAGGCCCAACTGCTTGGGAGAGCAAGAAGCAGGTTGACCAAGCTTTGAGCTCGGTGGAGTCCGAGTACATGGCACTCTTCCGTGCCGTACGGGAGATTGTGTGGCAGCGGCGTTTGTTGGCTGAATTGGGGGAGGAGCAGCAAGGACCTACCCCACTGTACTGTGACAGGCAGGGTGCCATTGCTCTTGCTAAGAACCCTGTGTTGCATGGACTCACGAAGCACATGAGAGTGAAGTGGCATTGGACGAGGAGCATGGTAACCGCGGGTGAAGTTGAGTTGCGCTACGTGAAGACCACGGGGCAGCCGGCTGACATGATGACCAAGAGGCTGGTGGAGCAGCAGCATTGGAAGTGTTGCAAGCTGGCTGGGATGGCTCTGAACTGAGAGAGCAACATATCCTAAGGCCAACAATCCGAGGGGGAGTTTGTTGGTGCAACCCTACGGTTTGCACTCGGCTTGTTGTCCGTGTGCGTGAATGTGTGTGTGTATGGAATGGTATGAGGGCATGGGATAATATATATTTCATGCTTATAATTGTGTGTGAATGTTGAGTCATGATGTCGAGTGTGTGTGTCGAGTCAATAGCGAGTTATCGCTAGACGCGTGTTACGCGGTCGTTTGTGTCTCGCGCGCGGTTTCTATTTTGTCGTGCGCGGTTTCTATTTTGTCCTGTGTCGAACGTTCGGCGTGTCGCAGGTGTGTGCAGCAGACCCATCAAGAACTCAAGGATGAGTTTGTGATGAAGAGCCCGAGCCTTGGTGTCAAGCCTCAAGTGATTTCGAAGCTTGCCAAAAGGGTACACCTCAAGATATTGAAGATAGTTACATTACTTTGTGTAGTGTAACATTTCACTTGGTGTAGGCCCTAGTGAAGGGTAGTTTCGAGACCCTTCGTGGTTGGGGACAGTGTGGCACTGTTCCACATCACTGTACCTCGGCTCTTGGGGTTTGTAGGAGCTGGGAGTCATTCCCAACTCGTAACTCTTCCTATCTTGTGTTCTAAGACTATAGTGGCTGCCATAGTACCGTTCGTTCAAACCGACGCTGTGTCGTCAATTCTTTATCAAATCGTGCAATCTAAATTGCTAATTGTAGACGACGTAAAGACGCTCCAGATCCAATTTGAATCAAGTCGTTTGCAGCTGTGAGCAGAACGCTATCAACGTTTGAAGCCGCTGTGCAGAAATCCGTCTGTGCTCTCTATCTTTCGTTTTAGGCACATTCAAGCCTATTGTGACTATAACAGGAGCTGCATCTGGCCACCGCCAGTAGCAGCAGTAGCAGTAGTAGTAGTAGCAGCAGCAGCAGCAGCCTAGCAGTAGTAGCAGTGCGGGCAGGGCAGGCGCGGCAGGCAGGCAGGCGTGGCAGGCAGGCAGGTAGGCAGGTTCTCACCAGTGGCGGGAAGGGCAGGCGCACGACGGCGGCGACGGCGGGGCCGCGACAGGTGCGGCAGAGCAGGGCCGCGTCGGCGGTAGGGCAGGTCCGCGACAGCTGCTGCAGGGCGGGGACGTGACGGCTGCAGGGCGGGGCCACAACCGCGGCAGGAGGCTCCGCGGCAGCTGCTACAGGGCGGGGCCGCGACGGCGGCAGAAGGCTCCGCGGCAGCTGCTGGAGGGCAGGGCCGCGACGGCGGCAGGAGGCTCCGCGGCAGCTGCTGCAGGGCAGGGCCGCGACGGCGGCAGAAGGCTCCGCGGCAGCTGCTGCAGGAGCGACGGCGGCGTCCACGGGGGGGGGGGGGGGGGGGGGGGGGGGGCGTCGCGACGAACAGGGGCAGCTGCGGCGCGCGGGGCTGCAACGCGCTACGCGAGCTGCGCGCGCGGTGCGCGAAGCCGCCGCGGGCTGCGCGAGGACGGCAGCCGCGGCGCGCGTTGCTGCAGCGCGACGCGCGGGCAGCGGACGCGACGCGCGGGGCTGCAGCGCGACGCGCGGTCAGCGGACGCGACGCGCGGGGCTGCAGCGCGACGCGCGGGCTGTGGGCGCGACGCGCGGGGCGTCGACCTGGCCTGGCGACCTGGCGGGGCGGCGCTCTGGCCTGACGGGCCTGCAGGGGCGGCTCGCGGGCCTGACGTGTCTGCAGAGGCGGCGCTGTGGCCTAGGGCAGCAGTAGGCAGCGCAAGGGCTGCAGGACGGCGCGCGCAGCGCAGCACGTCACAAGGCAAGGCAGGCAGGCAGGCAGGCGCAGGACAACACTTGGGGTAGCGTGGTAACCGCAACGGTAGGTGGGCCTGAAAAAAAAACGGTCCTACGGACCTAGAGCTCTGAAACCATGTCAGAATCTAGTAGCAGGAAAATAATTGAACAATGAAAGTATTGGGTACAAATATGAAACCCTAAAAGGGGATGTACCCCATATTGGCTACCCCACTACAGCCTACACATATATAACATGCATATACTTTGACACACGTGACGAATCATCGTCCCGCCATGTTAACCCCTGGCACCGGCCTGCCAGTTGGTGGTGATTAAACAAGAGAGAGAGAGGGGAGAGGAGAGGAATGAGGAGAGGAGGTGGGGGAGCCAAGCGGCGAGCCCCTCTTACGAACCCCCGTTTTACAAAGGGGGGGGGGTGAGAGAGGGATGAGGAGAGGAGGTGGGGGGAGCCACGCGGCGAACCCCTCTTACGAACCCCCATTTTACAAAGGGGGGAGGGTGAGAGAGGGAGGAGAGGAGGTGGGGGGAGCCACGCGGGGAACCCCTCTTACTAACCCCCTAACTCCACGCCCCCTTTCAGCCACCCCCCTCAATCTCACCCCCCTTGTCAACCGCCCCCTGGAACCTCACGCCTTCCCCCCACCCATCCTCCAAAGCCTTCCCCACCCACGGTGGTCCCTGCTCAAGCCTTCACACGGCGGCCAGAAACCCGCCACCCCCTCACCCTCCACCCCACAGCGGCACGTGCGGCAGTGAGAGAGAGAGGAGGAGCGGCGGCTGGTGAGTTCTGTTTACTCTCCAAAAACGGCGGCTCGCTCGCTCGAGAGAGAGAGAGAGAGAGAGAGAGAGAGAGAGAGAGAGAGAGAGAGAGAGAGAGAGAGAGAGAGAGAGAGAGAGAGAGAGAGAGAGAGAGAGAGAGAGAGAGAGATGGCCAAGGACTAGTCCTTAGCCGTTTTTAGCCCTCTCTAGTGTAGAGTCTAGTCCTTAGTCGTTTTCCAGCCTAGTATCCTAGTATAAAGCCTCTAGTGCCTCCCTTGGGGACTCATTCTTCACTGGTGAGTTCTGTTTACTCTCCAAAAACGGCGGCTCGTGCCGGCCGCCTTCGGCGGCCGTCGCTCGTCGGCGCGGCCTTCGGCCGCGCGTGAGGTGTGACAAGGAAAGAGGGGAAGCAAGTTTTATAATATGGAAGGATACAACATGCCCCAGTAACAACCCACAGCAACAAACAACACCCCCAGGCGTGGAGTAACCGCCATGGGGAAGCCCAAGGCCAGGCCAGGAGGCAAGCAGGCGGGCAAGGGGAAAAAGGCCGCTACTCGGCCAGGATCCAACACAACCGGCCGTCCATCCAGCGTAGCACGGATGCGGCAGCTGGCACTATGTCCCAGGGGGCCTGCAAGGCGGCAAGCACAAGCCGCCTCAGCGCAGCAGGGCCAGGCCCCAAGGCAGCACCAGGGGAGTCTGGCACCAGCCCGATCAGAGGCAACATCTCCAGCATCTGCATCGCTGCCGCCACACCCTCCTCCTGCTCCTGCTCCGACAGCACCGGAGGCACCTCCTCAGGATTTATCTGCCGTAACTGGAAAGCGTGCAGCTGGTCGAGTACCAGTGCCAGCAGTGTCAGGCAAGTCCCAACGTGCCCAACGTGCTGCCCGACGCGGTAGGCCCTGCCCCGCGGCGGGGAGCCCGGCGGCGAATTCCCCAGCTGCGTGTACTCCGTTGGCGTTGGCGACGGGGGAGTCGAGGCAGAGGACTGAGGGAGCGGGGGAGGACGGAGGGAGATCGGTTCAGCACTGGTTGGCAGTTGCGGCGTCGTCTGCAGTCCCTGGTCCGCCTGCACCAGCGGAGGCGGTTGCGCCTGCGATTGGAGCGGCAACAGCGGCACAGGAGGAGGTGGCGCACGCGGCTGTTGCTGCTGCCGCTGACGCTGGCGTCGGCTCAGCCTCACCCGCTGCCACTGCCCCGTTGACACGGCCGCTGGTGGAGGAGCAGGGACTGGCGGCAGAGCAGGGACGTGCAGAGGAGGCGGCTGCGAAGGCTGCGCCACTCGCACCGGTAGCGGTAGTTGCGACAGCTGTTGCGGCGGAGCAGGACGACGACTGGAGAGAGGGGGATGTGACGGCTGGCGCTGCGTCCGCCGGAACGCCAGCTGTTGCCGAGGCCTCAGACACGCGGGGGTGCGCCCAGGGGGAGAATGGTACACCGGCTCCCGCGAATCGCGGCGCCGCCCTCTCCGCCCGTGGGAAGACCGTGAGGCTCCGCGCTCGACCAGCACCGAGGCGGCTTGGAGCAACGCTGACGCCTGGTCGCCCAGGACCCCTCCTGGGCTGGCTCCAGCAAACGCCGTCGCCACAAGGGAAAGCGCCTCCGTCTTCATCAGCACCGCGACCTGCATCGGGACCGAACGAGGGACACGACACGAACGGGGCTCGTCAGGCGCAGCACAGGACAGAGGCGTCCCGCCAGACGCAGCAGGCGGCGGCGGCATCAACACCCGCAACCCAGCAAGCGACTCACCGTGAAACGCCGTCGGCGGGACCGAGCAACGTCCAGACGACGGATGCGGCAGCAACGGCCGAAGCGACAGGGACGGGGGTGAACGCGGCGGCAGTGCAGGGCGTGAGACGCTCCGCACGGCACGGTACAATCACCTGGGGACCGCCACGTGGGGGGCGTACTCCCTGGATGCCGGTGGGACGCGGAGGTTTGGGCGCGCCTGGTAACGCGAGGGGCGGCGGGACGGCCACCACGGGCGGTGGAGCGCGGGGACGTCGAGGGGGGATGCGCGGGGGCCTCGGAGGGGGACGGGGAGGGCGCAACCCGCTAGGCAGGACGGATATCCCTTTGAGATCCGGCCCTTGGCGGGAACGCCACGATCGACCGGAATCTGTGGCTGTGGATGCACAGGCGAATGAGGGGCAGGAAGGCGTAGATAACACAACTGCAGACCCAGATTTTATGGGCGAGGGGGAGGAAGCCGAGTCTGAAGAAATCTCGCTGGACGAGGAGCCCGTCGCAGGGAGGAACAACCAATCCAGGAGGAGGGGAGAGACGGCTGCTCCAACCACACAAATTCCAGGCGAGGCAGACGAGGTAGGGGAGGCCGCCAAGGAGGACACGGATGTGCCCTCTCCGTCCGACCTGGCAGAGATGGGAGGTGTGTGGCAGATCGCAGGGGAGTGGAACGTGGACGCCCTCCAGAGAGGAGACCAGCCGTTCCTGGTGCGCCGTTTGCCACCTCAGTTACTGGACCGCTATTGTCTGTGCATGCTAGCCCCACTGTACCGGCTGCAAAAATATCCCACTTGCCCAGGTGGCTGGACAATACTCCACTTCCTCCCAAGGCTGACCCTCAGACCAGCGCCGGAACCAGTCACAGGAAGCCGTTGGACGGTAATTGAAGCCCATCTCCACAATTTCCAGCGTGGCGAGTGGGAGGACCTCTTCGAAGAAGCAGGAGTCATCCCCGCCACAGAGGGCCCGGTACGGCACCAAGATGACGAGGAGGGGGTTTGTGCACGAGCGGAGGGTTTAATGAAAAAAGGTAACATTGCAAAAGCTGTATCGGCGCTGCGAACCAGCCCACTCGCACAACCCACCCCGGCGACCCTGGAAGCCCTGCGAGCGAAACACCCTGTGGCTGCGACACAAACCCCGGCCTGGGTAACCGGAATCACACAGTCCGAACTCGCCGTCCCTCTGGATACACTTCGCGAAGTTCTGGCGAAGTGCCCGAACGGGGTTGGGACGGGCCCGTCCGGCACGAGTTTTGAGCACCTGCGAGACCCAGCTCTCGCCAACGAGGAACTGCTCCTGCTCTTCGCCAAAGTGGTCAACGCGCTGCTCAGTAATTTCCAGCCCCAACGAGTACGAGACCTGCTGCTGCCATCACGCCTCATAGCACTAGAGAAGCCGGACGGCGGAGTAAGGCCGATCGCCATCGGTGAGGCCATACTACGCGTGGTTGCAAAAGCAGCGTTACAGACTCTGGGCCCGAAAATTAGGGAATTTTTCCTACCAGTTCAGCTGGGTGTCGCGGTCCCAGGGGGGGCGGAGTGCATCATCCATGCGGTCCGTGCCTTGCTTAGTGAAGATAAGAGTAGGATCGCGCTACAGCTTGACGTCGAGAATGCCTTCAATAGCGTAGAGCGACAGGCCTTCCTCGGGGCGTTGCAATGGTCTAGCCTGAGCCCGCTCCTCCCGTTGGTGCGCAACCTCTACGATGGCCCTTCCCGTCTGCTCGTTGACCCTCGGCTCGGCACCGATCACATTCTGAGCACCAGGGGCGTGCGACAGGGCGACCCTCTCGGCCCACTCCTCTTTGCGGCGGCAATTCAACCCACCCTCCTCAGCGTCGCCACGACCGTGCCGGAAGTCGCAATCACGGCCTACGCTGATGACATCACCGTGGTTGGCCCGCCCGAAGCAGCCTGCCTGGCGTTCAGCACGATCTCGGGCAAATTGGCGGAGCTGGGGCTTCGTTGCAATTTTTCCAAGTCGTCAGCATGGACTCCTTCCGAGGGAGGAGACAACGAGGAACTGCCGGAGGGGTTGGTAGCTGACCCAGGGGGGATAAAAGTGCTCGGTAGCCCCATTGGTACTACCGACTATTGCACCAACTTAGTTCGGGCGTCGCTGGAAGACGCGGCGACGCCGCTCCCTCTCATCACACAGCTCAACCCGCAGCATGCGCTGCTGATCCTATCGCGCAGCATCTCGCGCCGAATTTCGTACATTCTGCGGACGACACCAGCATCGGCCCTTAGTATGGGAGAGTGGAGGGGATGGAGAGAGAGTTTGGTGGGAGCAGCACTCTCGGCGGCGAAGCTCCGCGTCCCCACGTCAGAGCTGGAACAGAGCCTACTCTAGAGACAGGCGACGTTACCTGTCCGGATGGGCGGCTTGGGAATCATTGACCCAAGCTCGGAGGCGCCTGCCGCCTACATCGCCTCGGTAGCGGCTGCCCACTCCCTTCTGCAGCAGCTGAACCTGCCTCCAGACTGCCTGCTCTACTGAGCCACAACCCTGCTCTCTCATGACTGGTCCCCACCGCCCCCTGGAAGCAACCCCCTGACCTCGGTGGAGGAGAGCCTCCCCGCGACGGCACAGTCAGCACTGAGTTAGTACAGGACAGAGGGTACAGGCAGGGTAGCCTACAACTGCGCCTCTCCAAGTGCATCAACCAGCAGCGGGCAGTAGACCTCCTGGGCGACACAGTCGTGGACAGACCTGGTGCCAGCAGGGGCCACGCGATTCGACTTATTAGTTTGAAAGGAGCGGGAGCAGGTGATTGGCTCCATGCCGTGCCGACGAGAGCTGACCTTAGCATCTCCCCTGGTCAGTTTTCGTTGGCCCTAGGCCTCCGCCTAGGTATGGAGCTCCCAGTCGCCGAGGTGTGCCCGTGCAAGCGAAGCAACTCCACGATTGCAGACAAGAGCTTGCCGAACCACCTGCTGCGGTGCCAGGACGGAGGGGACGCGGTTAGGACCCACAACGTGCTGGTCTACGCAGCGCTGCGAATGGCGAACGAGGCGGGCTACAAGGTCTTCCACGAGACCTCCGCCTTCTCGCCCCCGGTTCTTAGGAAACGGGCGGACCTGGCCATCCGGGATGAGGAATCAGGAGAGACGTGGGTGGCCGACGTCACCGTGACTGATCCAGTTCTGCAAAACAGAGACACCAGGGCACGCAGACCGGCGGGTTGGGCCGCGGAAGAGGCATCACAGAGGAAGCACCGAGAGTACGAGGGGAGGCCGAGCTACGCTGGCTTCTTCAGGCTTGCAGTGGAGACATATGGGGCAATGGCGGCTGACACGCTACAATTCCTTCGCATGCTAGCCACCCACGCAGCCAAGAAGAAGTTCAGGCAGGGCCGCCTTACCACCACGGCTGCCCGATTCAATGCCCACTACCGCCAGCGCTGGTCCGTGATGCTGCAGCGTAGCCAGGCCATCTCTCTTCTCTCCAAGTCCAACCGGGCAGCAGAGGCAGCGTTCCCACAGGCAGCGGCTGACCCCTTGGCCCCGCGGCTAGGAGACCTCTGGCAGATGACACAAGACGACTATGAGGAGCGGGAGGCCCCTGCCAGGGCGGCTTAGACGGCCGTGGGGAGAGCTGGGGACGGCAGGGGGGAGAGCTAGGAGAGGAGAGGGAAGGGAAGCGGCAGGAGGAGGCAAGGTGGATGTGTAAGGGGTGGGACACGGAGCGGGGGGCAGCGGGGAATCTGTAGGTTGTGTAGGCATGGCTAGGACAGGCCGGGAATGTATGTGCAGGCCTGCTCTGTTTGACAGTATGCTGGCGCCCCTAGTTGTTGCTTGCTCGATCACCTGCATGCCTTGTCTAGTCTAGTACCCCACCTTGTCCTGCTTGTACCTTATGATCCCTATTAATACATGACTGCTGGAGGAGCGGCGACAGATGGGTGCTCACACCCGCCACCCCAAACCCACCCCCCCCCCACTTTTGCACGCGCAGCAGGGAGATAGAGGGGAAGGCGAGCGGCAGCGGCAGTAGCTCCTCCCGTCACTCCCACTACTCCACCCTCTCCACCCTCCCCCCCCACAGCAGCAGGTGCGGCCGTGAAAGAGAGAAGAGGAGGGTGGTGCAGTTGGTGCCACCTCCCCCTTACACCCCCTCCCCCTCCCCCCAAACTGCTGCACACGTAGTAGGGAGAGGGAATAGAAGGGAGGGGGGGGGCGAAGTGTGCGCGGGCGGGCAGGGCGCACGAGGCGCCAGGCAGAGGCGCACGAGGCGCCGAGCAGAAACCGCCGCTGCAGTAGAAGCAGCAGGGGGGGAAAGGAGAGGTGGAGGGGGGGGACTGCTGGCTTGGTGACGAAGCAGAGCAGCGGGGCGCTGGAGGTGCAACTACCCCCCACCGCCACTCCTGCGTCCCCCCAACACCCAACATCTCACCGCCACTCCTGCGACGGCGGGGAGGTGAGGCTGGTGCAGCTCCGCGCGCTTGTGCTGGCGCTGGCGCTGGCACGGGCGTTGGCGACTGGCGGCTCCGGCCGCCACTAACCCCCTCGATGCTGCCCGCTCCAGTCGCGGCTGCAGCGGCGGTGGGCTCGTACGAGCGGGGAGCTGCAGCGCAGCAGCGGCGGGCTGCAGCAGCGGCGATCGCGTGCTGTGGACAAGGGCTGCGGCGTACGGGCGGCTGCAGCAGTGCGCGTGCTTGCCTTGCATGCGTTGTCTTCTTGCCTTGTTGTCGTAATGCTTCTCTGGTTTCTTCTCTCTGCTGCTTTGCTGGTTGGAGTTTCACGTGTGCTTTGAGGAATCTCGAAGCGCACATTTCAGGTTGGGATTTCCAACCTTGAATTTCACATTTCAGGTTGGGTTTTTGGCGAAAGTTACAAGTTCGCTAGTGAGCGAACTTTCCTGTGGCGAGTTCGCCTTCGCCCTGTAACATTACTCCCCCCTCCAAGGGGCACCGTCCTCGGTGCACCAGCAGATGCAAGGTAGGCAGAGATAGCTCGTTGTGCATGCTGTAGGTCCTTCTCTGGAATCCAGAGATTTTCTGCATCATCATGCTCACGCCACTTAACCAGAAAGTATCTGCCACTAGGTGTTGTTTCATGAGCAAGAATCTTCTGAACTTCGAACAAATCAGGGCTTGGAGTGAACATGGGAGGGCGAGATGGCTGAGAGGTAGGGAGAAAGCGAGCTGGAGGATCATGATATGGGCGTAGCAGCTGGACATGAAAGACTGGATGGATGTTGATGTGAGGAGGAAGTTTCAGACGGTATGTGAGTGGAGAGAGGACCTGTGTGATTGTGAAGGGACCAATGAAGCGAGGTGCGAGCTTGCGGGTGAGGCCTTGAATGAGTAGGGGCAGATTTGTAGTTGAGAGAAGCACTCTGTCTCCTACGTGAAAGCGGATATCACGTCGGTGCTGGTCTGCATAGTGAATCATGCGCTGCTGTGCCCTGGAGAGTGAGGTGCGTGCTGCTGCTATGGCTTTCTCTCTGTCCTTCAGAAATGCCGTTGCTGCAGTATCACGTTTGGGGCTGTGAACCAGTGAGGTAGGAGTGTGAGGGTTCTGTCCAGTAGCTAGGTAGAACGGGGTCTGTCCAGTAGCAAGGTTAACGGTGTTGTTGTAGGAGAACTCGATTTCTGGCAGGTGGGTGTCCCAATCGTTCTGGTGAGCGTTGACACATGCACGCAAGCCATCTTCCAGCGTTCGATTCATTCTCTCGGTCTGCCCATCAGACTGAGGGTGGTAGGCAGTTGAGAGGCGAATCTTGGTACCCATCCTGTTGAAAAGGGCCTGCCAGAATCTGCCAACGAAACGGGAGTCACGGTCGGAGATAAGGACAGAGGGAATAACGTGAAGACGTACTATTTCTGTGAAGAAGCGTTCAGCAACGTCTTGGGCAGTGGCAGTGGTGGAAGTGGGA